CAAAACACATATGTTGTACACGTGCTCATAGAACAGAGGGTGGAAAGAAACTCAGAGTCTTGTAGCCAGAAGGGGCGGGCTCCTGGGAGTTCCGTCTTCCGGGTTCGTCTCCACGTTTTTCAAGTCTGCTCTCATGAACGCTTGTCTCTGCACTAAGAAAGATGTTAACATTATTTAACGTGGAAGTTTGAGTGGCTTTCTGTTGTGTGAACTCACCGTGTCATGCTTGTCGCTTGTGCACACAGCTGGTTTTGGTTCCAGAGCACCCTGAGTGGGGGGTGAGGGGTGCAGGGAGGGGCCTGGTGGGGTCCACAGTGCAGCCAGACCTCCAGGGTGTGTGTGCGGGGGACCTGGGGGCCGTGTGTCTGTAAGGCGGGAGGGTGGCCCCTGCAGGGGCCCTTCCCTGACAGCTCCCAGAGCTGGCCTTGCGCCGGCAGAGGGATGATGGCTCAGACGGCCTCCTGGTCCTCCCTGGGGCCGGGGTGCTGGGAGTCCCAGGCCGGGTGCTGCTGTTGTGAACACAGACAGTTGCTTTTCCGTGATCTTTTATCTAAAGTTTGTTTTAGTTACATTTTGAGACCGTTGTGTTTCCTTGCCTTTGAGTGGCACTGCAGAGTCATCTGTTAGAAATGAGCATTATGACCAGAGTTTATGAGATCCAGTGTGATGATGTCATGACTGTGTGGCATATTCTCCCAGGTGTCACGGGCATGCCTGACTCCACTTCTGTTGGAATCAGTGGCTGTATGCGTGTTACCCAGGGAAACTGCCACGCCTTCTGGAGCTGCCACCCGTAGAGCTGCTGGCTGGCGCCGCCCGCGGCCCCTGTGCCTGGAACAGCTGTCCTGGTTTTCTCTTTCCCGGGTCTGTTCCCACCGGAGACGTTGCTGATGCTGCCGAGAGGTCTCGTCACTGCGAGAGTCCCACGTCACTTCTTGGCAGGAGTTTTGCTTCTGTTCTCAGCTTTCCCCACCCTATCGGCACATTGCATGGCCCAGTCTGTTTTTTTTTAGACTTTTGTGTCCAAAAGACCACTGTTACTTGACTGGCATATTAATCACATTGCTTTTCTTGAATGTTATTTAGATATTCCTTTGAATTTCTGTGAACATCATTTTTTAAGCAAATAAGCAAGTATTCGATAAAGTGTAGGCATCAGCTGCCCCATTAGCGAGTTTGAAATTGGGGTGTCCAGCTGTGGAAACTGTGGGGTCTGCTGGGCTGCCCTGCTCCCTTGAGTCCCTGTGATGAAGGAGTGGTGTCTCTGGATGGTGCCTGAGTGAACTGGTGAGTGAGTGGCTGGGTGTGTCACCAGGTCCCCTCTTTTGGGGTCCTCAGCACAAGCATGGGCCAGGGTTGATGACCATGCAACCCCCTTGAGCTGCCCTGTGGCCCGAGCCTGTCCTGGGCGTGGTGCAGACTTCTCAGGGCGTAGGCATCAGTTCTGGCTGCCAGCCTGCCAGGCCTTTCTCTCCTCAGTGCTTTCACAAGCTCCCAGGTTTTAGAGATTTCAAAACAGTGAGTTATTTGCAGCAGCTGTGTTTTGTTTTGTTTTGAAAATATGGCTTATTGTCTTTCAGTTCAGTTTAGTCGCTCAGTCGTGTCTGACTCTGTGATCCCATGGACTGCAGCACGCAAGGCTTCCCTGTCCATCACCAACTCCCAAAGCTTGCTCATACTCATGTCCATCGAGTTGGTGATGCCATCCAACCATCTCATCCTCTGTCATCCCCTTCTCCTCCTGCCTTCAGTCTTTCCCAGCATCAGGGTCTTTTCCAGTGAGTCAGTTCTTTGCATCAGGTGGCCAAAGTATTGGAGCTTCAGCAGCTTTAGCATCAGTCTTTCCAATGAATGTTCAGGACTGATTTCCTTTAGGATGGACTATTTGGATCTCCTTGCAGTCCAAGGGACTCTCAGGAGTCTTCTCCAACACCACAGTTCAGAAGCATCAATTCTTCAGCTCTCAGCTTTCTTTATGGTCCAACTCTCATATCCCTACATGACTACTGAAAAAACCATAGCTTTGACTAGACGGACCTTTGTTGACAAAGTGATGTCTCTGCTTTTTAATAGGCTGTCTGGTTGGCCATAGCTTTTCTTCCAAGGAGCAAGTGTCTTTTAATTTCATGGCTGCAGTCACCATCTGCAGTGATTTGGGAGAAAATAACTCCCCAAAATAACAAGAAAATAAAGTCTCTCACTGTTTCTATTGTTTCCCCATCTGTTTGCCATGAAGTGATGGGACTGAAAACCATGATCTTAGTTTTCTGAATGTTGAGTTTTAAGCCAACTTTTTCACTCTCCTCTTTCACTTTCATCAAGAGGCTCTTTAGTTCTTCGCTTTCTGCCATAAGGGTGGTGTCATCTACTTGTCTGAGTTTATTGGTATTTCTCCCAGCAATCTTGATTCCAGCTTGTGCTTCATCCAGCCTGGTATTTTGCATGATATATCTGCATATAAATTAAATATGCATTATTGTCTTTATTTTAGTTTTGTTTTAAAATTTGTTGTAAGTTTTAAAGTTTTATTTTATGTTGGAGTATAGCTGATCTACAATATTGTGTTGGTTTCGGGTTTACAGCAGGGTGGTCCAGTTACGCATATATTCATTCGTCTAGGTTATCACAGAATATTGAGCCTCCCTGCACTGTACCGTAGATCCTTGGCAGATTATCCGTTTGAAAAGATTCATTCATTTATCTGGCTGCGCCAGGTCTTAGTTGTAGCATGTAGGCACTTTTAGTTATGGCATTTGTATTCTTTGGGCTTCCCCCGTGGCTCAGTGTTAAAGAATCTGCCTGACAGTGCAGGAGACAGGTTTGATCCCTGGGTTAGGAAGATCCCCTGGAGGAGGAAATGGCAACCCACCCCAGGATTCTTGCCTGGAGAATCTCCTGGACAGAGGAGCCTGGCTGGCGTGGTCCTTAGGGTTGCAAAGAGTCAGACATGACTGAGCGCATGTATGTACACATTAGAATTCTATAGTTTTGGCATACGGACTCTTCACTTGTGGCATGTGGGGTCTACTTCCCTGACCAGAGGTTGAACCTGGGCCGCCTGCATTGGGAGCAGAGAGTCTTGGCCACTGGACCACCAGGGAAGTCCCAGTTATCTATGTTATATGTAGCTGTGTGTATATGTTAAACCCAGTCTCCTAAATTACCCTCCCCCACTCCCACCTTCCCCCTTGGTAACTATAGGTTTGTTTTCTAAGTCTCTGAGTCTGTTCCTGTTTTGTCAGTAAGTTCATTTGTATCAATTTTTTAGATTCCATATACAAGTGACATCATATGATACTTGTATTTCTTTGACCTGCTTCACTTAGTGTGATCATCTCTAGGTTCATCCATGTTGCTGCATGTGGCATTATTTTATTCTTTTTCATGGCTGAGTAATATCCCGTTGTACATATGTACCACGTCGTCTTTATCCACTCATCTGTCAGTGGATACTTAGGTTGCTTCCTTGTCTTGCCTGTTGTAAATAGTGCTGCAGTGAACATTGGGATGTGTGTATCTTTTCAAAATATAGTTTTCTCCGGATATGTGCTCAGGAGTGGGATAGCAATCCCACTAGATCATATGATAAATTTGTTTTTAGTTGTTTAAGGTTCTCTGTTTAGATCTGCCCATTTTTAAATTTTTTGTTTGTTTTTTGATATTGAGCTGCATGAGCTGTTTGTGTATTTTAGAGATGATCCTTTGTAGGTTGCATCGTTAGGAAATATTTTCTCCCATTCTGTGGGTTGTCTTTTTGTTTTGCTCATGGCTTCCTTTGCTGCAGCATGGCTCATTTGAAAGGGTTGTCTTGGAGGGCACTCTCATAATGGGCACACATGCGAGAGGTTTTTCTGGATTGAGAGTTGCAGACGTGACCCCGGGGAAAGGCTGTATTTCCTGATGTGATGATGAGTGCTGAAGGAGCCGGGACCAGCAGCTCCAAAGACTTCTCCGACTTCTACGTTGGTTGGAGCTCCCGTCTGGTTCAGCATGGAACGCCTGTTGTTGTGATGGCTGGCGAGAGGTTCTTGGCCTTGAGGTTTTCAGCTGCCCTGTGGGGCTGCCCACTAAGCGGGCTCCTTGGGCCACACCCCTGCCCGGCTGAGTCCTTCTTCCGTGGGGTGCCTCGTGTCCATTCTCCGAGAGCCTGGCTTTGGGGCGACGTGTTCATAGGACTCCTTTCAGCCCCATTGCTAATCCGTCCTGGGAAATTGTGTGAAAGTTGTGTTACTGTTTCTAATGGAATCTAGGATGTAATTGGTGCTGGTTTTTGAAGCTAGAATTAATGCCACACTCCCTGCTAGGATTTGGTTTCCAGTGATGTAGCTGGAGCCCCATGAAGGGTGAGTGGTCCTCCATGTCTTTGTGTCTCTGTGGGTGAGGGGGGGGGTCCCAGGTCACCATGGACACACGAGGGGTCCTGTTCCTGGAAGGAGTGTCTGGGCTTCGGGCACTCCAGGCCCGGCCCCAGGCATGTGGGTGTTGGGCAGTGCTGTCTCGAGGTCCAGCCTAGTCCCCAGGGATGGGGACCTGATGGGAGAAGAGGCCAGGCTGCCTCCCCCAGAGCCAGTGGCAGGCCTGGGTGGTGACCTGCTCCTGGGCAGGGCTTGGGTCTGAGGCTCCAGGTGCAGCCGCTCCTGAGACACCTGCTGCCTTGTGCACTTGGCCACTCCAGGCAGCCCGTGTGGGGTGCACACTTGGCCGCGGGGGCTCTTACCAGACCCTGGCTCCCTGGCCTCTGACCTGCAGGCCAGCGCGGGGTGCTGTGGGGTGGACGGGCCGTGAGGAGCTCTGCCTGCCTGGCTGGCGGCTGCTACTTACACCAGTGAAAGCCCCTCTCCTGTCTCTGTCGTCTTGTCATCACGTCTCTGCTGGCAGGTGTGCTCAGGCCTCAGTGACGGGTTCCTAGCGTCTGCCTTTCCTCCTCAGGGCTGTTGGCTCCCCGTGGAGTCGGGCCCTGGGACGCATTCTTGACACCAGCCCCCTCCCCCGCCCCCCAGGTATGGTCCTCGTGCGGAGCGAGAATGGGCAGCTGCTCATGATCCCTCAGCAGGCCCTGGCTCAGATGCAGGCCCAGGCCCACGCCCAGGCGCAGCCGCAGACTACCATGGCACCGCGCCCGGCCACCCCCACAAGTGCCCCTCCCGTGCAGATCTCCACCGTGCAGGTGAGCACGCGCCCAGCCTGGGGGGGGGTTGTGGGGGGTAGGATGGCTCAGCTGCCCTGGGAGGAACTCGGGTTTCCTACCTGCACCCCTCCCCCCGCCACCTCCTGTGATACCTCTCTCTCCCCACCCCACCCCACCCCCGCGCCTCCTTTTCTTCCTCTGCAAAGTATGGATCCTGCCACCCTGTAGGACCATGACGGATGGTTAGGACACTTGAGTGCAGGACCCAGTGAGCCCTGAGCCTCGTTAGCTGTTGTGATCAGAGGGCTGCAGAGGAGCTTTGCAGAACTGTGTTAAACAGCACCCCACCACATACAGATGTGTGAGCCTTGGGGGCTACTCCCCCCTCGCCCAGGCTGTGTCCCCCCCAGAGGATGTCTCCCCCCCCCCCCCGCCCAACACACACACACCGAGGTTGTGACTGGAGGACAGGTTCAGTGCCTGGGACTCGCCCCTCCCCTAGGTTCTGCCTCCTGGTGCCTTTCTGTCCCTTCTGAGCTGGTTGACTGGTCAGAGACTAACATGGAGACTAGAGGGGTCCTGACAGCTCTGTCGTCCTGTGACTTCAGCCGCATCCCCTGGAGTTGGTGTGCCTGCACTGTAGACAGAGGGGCCCCTCCCTGAGCCTCCGAAACAGCCCCGAGCAGCTCGCAGGGTCTGTGGAGGTCTGTTCCGTCAGATGGTTGTAAGATGTTCACTTTGAGTGCTGTGTGATTACAGGAAATCAAAGTGTTGCTTTCCCAGATACACGCCTCCCTTGAAGCCCACGTGGGAGGCTCTGCTAAGGAGTGTGTTGTAGTTATATGGTGGCAATTAGGGGGCCTCGCTGACTCTGGCTAGCCTGGGGGCCCAGGTGTGCTCTCTGTGCTGAAGGAAGGACCGTGTGGTGTGCTGCCTCTCACTTCCCTCCTTTTAGGCGACAACTCCTTGTTTTTCAGGCACCCGGGACCCCAATTATTGCACGGCAGGTGACCCCAACGACCATAATCAAGCAGGTGTCTCAGGCCCAGACGACGGTACAGCCCAGCACCGCACTGCAGCGCTCGCCTGGGGTTCAGGTGAGATGGGGGCTGGGTGGTGCCCACGATGCCGGGGTCAGGGGTTGGGCCTCATGAGTTTGGGTGCTGGATGCCAGGGTTCGGGATTTGGGGCAGGAGATGCTTTCTCTGCCCACCATTTCAGGGGAAGCCAGGCTTCTCTAAAACTACACAGAGTTTAGCACCAGCAGCACTTTGAGAAGCCTTCTACTGTGCCGGAAGCACAATTAAAAAATGTCACCTACTAACATTTGATGGTGCAGTGTCTCTGAAGCAGAAATGATCTACAGCCCAGAGTGTGTGTGTGTTGCACTGAGGAGGGTGTGTCCTCACTGTGTGTGTGTTACTGTGTGTAGCTCTCACAACACCCTCCCTGATGGACACCAACAGCGCGGTGTGGGGGCTTCTGGCCCTGATCCTGAGTGCATCCAGCTTGGCCGCCTTGCTTGCCCTGGTCTCCCCGCTCGCCCTGGTGTTGTCCTTGTCTGTCTCTTGGCTCCCGCAGCCGTGACACTGCTTTCAGAGCAGCTGGAGGAGCAGTTGGTCCCAAGTAGACAAGCTTGGTGGTTTCTTCCTGTGATAAGAGCTGCATGGCGATGGTGCTTCCTGGTGTTGGGAGTCGTCTGGCCGAGTTCAGCCTGGTTGGAGTGTCTGAGCTTCAGTTGTAGAGAGAGGAGCCTTTTCTGAGAAGGTGGTGAAGCTCATGGTGAGCTTTTGCACCAGGCTTATCAGAACAGGTTTTTTCTGCCATCTCAGTATTGTCCAGGTGGAGGGTGTTTTCATGGGACTAGTGGGGGCACATGTGAGGGGTGCATTTTGGTAGAAGTGAAAACCTCGGAGACCTAGGTGTGCCCATGCTGTTTCTCATTGTCCAGAAGCAGCTCTGCTATGCCTGCTGGTCCATTCTTTTCCTTTTCTCCCTCTGAAGTTTTTTATTTGCCATTTTCTCGTTACAAAAGTAAAAAGTGCTTAATGTTACAAGTGAGAGAATTTATCAGTGATAAAGAAAGCCCACCATGTCTTCCGGCTGACATTCCTCCTGGGAAGCCAGTGTTTACAGCCTGGGGTTGCAGACAGCTTCCTGCCCAGGGGCCCCCCTGTCCCTTTGCCCCCCACCAGCAGCACCATTGGAGCACCTCCTGGAGCGGGCAGGCTCCGGGACCTGCTTTGCTGAGAGCAGCCGCACGCCTCATGCTCAGGGTTATACTGCCCCCTACCTTCCAAAGTCATAAGAAAGTTTGAAAAATTGGAGAATTAAGTTCAGCTCAGTCGTGTCCGACTCTTTGTGATCCCATGAACCGCAGCATGCCAGGCCATTGGAAGAGTGCCAATTTAAAATAGAGAAGCAGTGAACATTTGCATGATTACTCACATAGGATAGAAATCTCGAGAATTTGACAAGCCCAGTTGTTTGGTGTCTAGTTGTTTGTTTAAATGTATTTGTTTAGCAAAGTCACCCCTCCCTCCCAGCACCAACTACGTTGAGCCCCTGCCTGGTTAAAAACCATTTCCATAGCATTTCTGGATGTGACTCGCTTTGGGGGAGCAGAGAAGGGTGTTGCGGCAGCGGAGGGGAGCCCGGGACCCCAGTGAGTCCCGGTGCTGCCCTGTGGGGTGCCTGCCTGTGTGACATACTGGATTTCTTGTCACCAGCCTCTCTGCATGAGCCAGGGGGTGGGCTTTTCAGCTTGTTTCTCTGTTTTCTTTTTTTCCTTTTAATTTCTGAGATGTGACCTGGGTTGTTATGAAAACGTTACTTGTCCTGGCTGCCATGTGACACTCAGGATTGACTCCTGACAGCCAGGTTCCCTCTGGCCGTTGGCTTTGCTTCTGTCAGTTTTTGCTGCAGATGCAAAGTGCTGCTTCCTTGGTGCTCAGGATCGCAGCTCTTGGGGACACAGTCAGCTGTGGGGCTGGCATGGTCCCTCGAGGTGGCGGGTCCTGCGGGGCCTGCCCGTTGCGAGAAGTCTCACGAAGGCCGTCTGTTTACCTCGTGCTTTGGATTCTCGTAGCCTCAGCTTGTTTTGGGTGGCGCTGCTCAGACAACCTCACTTGGGACGGCAACAGCTGTTCAGACTGCGACACCTCAGCGGACGGTCCCAGGGGCCACCACCACCTCGACAGCTGCCACGGTGAGAGCTGCCTCTCGGGAGACACGGGGCCATGTGTTGGGGTCATGCTGCCCCAGCGTGCATGTGGGGAGCCCTCGGGTTCTCCATGGCCCCGTATGTGGCGGGGTCTGAGGGCAGTGGCCTCTGCAGGGTCACAGGGAGGGTCCGGCCTCCTGCACCACCAGGCTTTCAGGCTGTGGGAATGTGTGTGTGATGAAGCCCAGACCAGCCACATTCAGGGACGACGGGGCCCGCACAGCAGTTGTAGCCTGCCAGAGCGGTGGCGTCGTCCTCTTCAAGTTTATTTCCAGCAGTTTTCCTACATGCGGATGAATCTTTAAACCAGTGGGATTGTGCTCCATTTGTGATTTAAAACTTTTTCATGTTTCTTTGCTGAGTGTTTTTCAGTATCTTTCTTTAGTAGCTGTGTCATGATTCTGTTTCTTTTATTGTGTACTTAGGTATCGGTTTTTCTTTATGATAAGCAACATCACAGTGAATGTCTTGTAGATTGTCTTTTTGCATTTATCAGTCACATTTCGGAAAGTAGAATCGCTGGGCTGAGTGAGCTGTGAATTTGATCTGTGCCTTGGGAGCACATGTCTTGGCTTATACTCCCATCATCAGGCGATGAGGATAACTGCATTTTCCTGAAAGACATTTTAGAGAAGAAATATATATTTCTTATATGATACACAGCATCTTAGTTAAACCAAAGGCTATAATAACAGTCTGCTTTGTAAGAGTTTTTCACTTTTACCTTCTTAATTTCTATCCAGGAAACTATGGAAAACGTGAAGAAATGTAAAAATTTTTTATCTACGTTAATAAAACTGGCTTCGTCTGGTAAACAGTCTACGGAGACGGCCGCTAATGTGAAAGAACTGGTACAGAATCTGCTGGTAAGAGCCTGCACGCCGGCCCCTGCCTTAGAGCGCAGTACTTGGCTACTTGGCGGGGGGCTGGGGTGGCAGCTGCAGTCTGGGCCCCTCTGCCCTTGCCCTGACACTTTCGTCCCTGGCTTCTTGGAACCTCGCAGCTGGACAGCTCTCCCAGCATCTCCTTTTCCATGTCAGTCGCTTGGCATGCTGGCCACACAGGAGCGATGTGAATTCACCAAAGAGATGGCGGGTGTTTTAAGGGCTTTCCCTCTCACTCCTCCACATCTTCCATGGAGGATTTTGAGTGACACGGAAGCGGAAGGCAGAGTGAGGAGTGCTTGTCGGCCAGCTGCAGGCTTCGTGGGTCCTGAGTTCTTATCTGGCTTTGCATCCACTGTGCCCGTGTTGCTGCCCACAGCCCCTCCCCAGTCTTAATCCTGGACATAACCTGGGACCCTGGGGATCCTCGCAGCCCCCAGGCTCCTGGAAGCTGAGTCCAGTGTCACCGCAGGGCTTGGTCAGTCGTCAGGTCCACTTTTGGCTGCTGCCTCCGTGTCGCTGTTCACCTAGGGTCCCCTCCTTCCGCTCTTTCCTTGCTCTCGGTCTCTTTGTCCAGGAAGCCTGGTGGTTTAACACACGGGCTGATGGCCATTTCTGTCCTGCTGCTGCTGGGTTTGTCGGCGTGGCCCCTCCACTTGCAGCCTCCTTTCCATGCCATGGGCTCGAGCTGGAGGGGAGCCACCCCTGGGCTGGACATGTGGATTTGGGGCTGAAAAGGAGTGAAGTTGTGCTCTCACAGCAGAAATGATCACTTCAGACGCGCCTTAAATATTTTCAGGAAACTAAGAGATTGCAAAACAGTGTCACCTCCTGAGAGGAACAAGAACTCCCAGCTTTTTGTTTGTTTCAATTACAGTTTATCTTCTAATGAACATTCGTAGTTGAATACATGCTGTTCTTTCTTCCCACGGCCCCTTGTCTGCGGCCCCTCCTGGGACTGGAAGCACGGGCTCATCTCACCATCTCTCTCGCTTCCCAGAAGAGCCCAGCGCTATCCCCCTGTGCTATGCCCTTCTCAGGGTTCTGGGACCCTCGTCTTGCCCTCTTTGCAGCCCTGACTGCTCCCTCCTTGACTTGGGCCCAGTCAGCCCCGAGCTTGGAGGCTGGTGGGAGGTGACCCCGTGTGAGAGGGTGCAGGTGGGCACCTTGTCTCATAGGATTCCTGGGTGTGGGCAGAGCCAGCTGGGTCAGTGCTCACGCCTCCAGGGCACCTGTGCTGCCCCGTCCCTGCCCACCTCTGGTCCTCCTGGTCTCATGGCCGCTTGCTGTGGCCCCTCTCATCTGGGCATGCGCTTCTCTCTCTGGCGCCCCAGCTGCTCTGGGGTCTCAACGTAGGTGTGGTCTCTCCAGGGAAGGGCGTCCCTGGCCTGCCTTACCTTCCGACTTGGTCTCGAGGGTACTCTGAGGCTTGTCTGTCTCCTGGCAGAATGCCTGATATACAGTGGTAGTGAGAAAACTGAGGAATGGCACAGTGAGCCCACGGCCTGGAGGGAGGAATAACTGTTTGTAAAACTCGAGACCTGGAGAAGTACTGCATAAAGATACATGTGTGCAAACTTGTATTCACTGAGGAATTTTAATGTGAATTTTGTCTTCAAGGATGGAAAAATTGAAGCAGAAGATTTCACTAGTAGGTTATACCGAGAACTTAATTCTTCACCTCAACCTTACCTTGTGCCTTTCCTGAAGGTAATCTGAAGCCCGCTGCGAGCGCCCAGTGTTGGGGGGGGAGGCGGGCTCCTCTGGGAAGGGGTGGACTTGGACAGGTGTCACCCGTGCGTTTGCAGCTTTCAAGCCCCTGAGACAGACTGTTAAGTTTTCTGTTCGGAGGCTTTTCTAGTAAGTTTTGAGACCCCCACTGCTGCGACTACAATGTCGTGTTGCACTTGGGGGTCCAGAAGGGCCCTGTCCTCTTAGACGGCGGCCCGTGTGCCGGCGGCTGAAGGGGGCCACTCTGCTGGGAGGCGGGTGTCGCTCAGACGCCTCTGCTGCCCTAATGCTCTTTAACCGCCTGTTGGAAATGACGCTGCTGGCTGGTGTTTAAACAGTTCCAGCCAGTTCTCACTGAGGGCCACCCTGCCCAGCGGCAGTGACAGTGCGGGGTGCTGACACTGGGTCCTTTGAAGCTCCACACCGATGCTGGGGCGTATTCTCAGGGTCGTGAGTTTCTGGGTCAGAGGAAGGGTAGTGCTGCCAGCCGACCCCATGTCTGTCTTTCCGCCCAGAGGAGCTTGCCCGCCTTGAGACAGCTGACCCCCGACTCCGCGGCCTTCATCCAGCAGAGCCAGCAGCAGCCACCGGCTTCGCAGGCCACCACCGCGCTCACTGCCGTGGTGCTCAGTGGCTCGGTCCAGCGCACGGCTGGGAAGACGGCGGCCACCGTGACCAGCGCCCTCCAGCCCCCTGTCATCAGCCTCACGCAGCCCACACAGGTGGGCGTCGGCAAGCAGGGGCAGCCCACGCCGCTGGTATGAAGGCCGAGCCTTGCCCTGCTCTCCACCCGCCCACCTGCCTGCGGCCCAGAGAAACTGGCAGGGGGAGTTTGGGGTGTTAAATCCTGAGTAGTGAACTGTCAGGTTGAGATCAGGGCCCTGCAGGTTCATAGTTTATTTCTCAGTAAAGAAAAGTAAGCCTGTCAGTTTCTACCCTCTGGCATGTCCGTTATCTGTACGACGGTTCAGGGTGTCCCTGGGTTAAGTGGACACAGCGTGTGTGTGGTGCATCTCAGCCTGGCATTGTCTTCCATCAGGAGCCACGGCCCAAACACACGGAGCCAACGCAAGTGCTGAACATTTGGCACGTCAGTTTTCATGGCTTAGGACCCAGCTCCACAGCGTAGTTTGGGGCCTGGGTCTTCCCAGGCATGCAGCTGCTAATGGTGGGTTGGTGTGTGGTTCTGATCCAGGTTCTGGTTGTGCAGCTGTGGAGAAGGTGTCTCTGCTGGGAAGAGTGAGGTTTGGACCTGCTCTGGCAGGCAGGTGGAGTTCGCCAGGCGTAGAAAGTCAGTTGCTGTTTTTTTTTTCCCCTCCATTTTCAAAGGGGTGTAGTTCCTAAGTGCGTGTGTGTGTTCATTCGTGTCCAGCTTGTTGTGACCCCATGGACTGTAGCCCTCCAGGCTGCTCTGTCGATGGGGATTTTTGGGTAAGAATACTGGAGTGGGTTGCCATTTACTCCTCTAGGGGATCTTCCTGACCTAGGGATCGAACCCTTGTCTCCTGGACTGAAGACAGATTCTTTACCCCTGAATCACCTAGGAAGGTCCTTTGTTCCCACTGTTGTTTATCAGTTGCTCAGTGGTATCCAACTCTTTGCCACTCCATGGATTGCTGCATGCCAGGCTTCTCTGTCCTTCAGCATTTCTCAGAGCTTGCTCAAATTCCTGTCCATTGAGTCAGTGATGCCATTCACTCGTCCTCTGTTGTCCCCTTCTCCTTCTGCCTTCAATCTTTCCCAGCATCAGGGTCTTTTCCAGTGAGTCGTCTCTTCACATCAGATGGCCAGAGTATTGGAGCTTCAGCTTCAGCATCAGTCCTTCCAATGAATATCCAGGGTTGATTTCTTTTAGGATGGACTGGTTGGATCTCCTTGCAGTCCAAGGAACTCTCAAGAGTCTTCTCCAACACCACAGTTCAAAAGCATCAATTCTTCAGTGCTCAGCCTTCTTTATGGTCCAACTCTCACATCTATACACGACTCCTGGAAAAACTAGCTTTGACTATATGGACCTTTGTTGGCAGAGTTTGATGTCTTTGTTTTCTAGTACATTGTCTAGGTTTGTTATAGCTTTTTTCCCCGAGGAGCAAGCTTCTTTTCATTTCATGGCTGTAATCATTATCTGCAGTGATTTTGGAGCCCAAGTAAAGAAAATACGGTGCTGTTTCCACTTTTCCCCCATCTATTGGCCATGAAGTGATGGGACCAGATGCCATGATCTTAGATTTTTTGAATGTTTCTATAGACAGTTAAAAAATTTAATAAAACAATGCAGGTATTTGTGTTACTTTTGTAGGTTGTAGAGTGTGTATTTTATGATAATGCCCAAGTGATACTCAGGTGGGTGATCAGAGTCATGAGGGGAGTGCTGGTCTCTCACCTGCTCAAGTTGAAATCTGTGTTTGTTTCTGCCTTCATCGGTGGTGAGGAAGATGGGCTCCACAGAGATGGAGAAGTGTCTGCTGGCCACGGCTGGAGCCGGTGTGCCTTGGGCCAGTGTGCCAGTGTGAGGGCAGGGCTCCCTGCACCCTTCCCCCGGAGGTCCAGCCCCTCTGCCTCGGTCCTGCTTTATTGCAGCAGAAAGACTAGATGCAGCAGACTCAGGCACCGATCATCACCGGCTGTCCTTGAAGCCTGTGGGAACGGGAAACCCTGAGGCTTTTCCCTGAGCTTGTGCCAAAAGGTGGCCTGAACCTCTGGGGAAAGTCGTGCATCTGTTCTCCTGGATGGTGTGAATTTCCACAGGACTTGTTGCAGAGATAACATGGGCCAGGGCACCCCCAGCCCCCTCCTCGAGTACCTGTAGCACAGGGCAAGCCCCCAGGTGATCATTATAGAATTCAGAAGCTGGGTTTTGAGCATCCAGCCTGAGGCTGTGGTGGGTCTGAGGTGGCCCTGGCACCCGTGCTGGCATCAGGAACAAGCCACTTGTTCCTGCTGGTTCAGGAGCTCTGTGGACCCTGTCCCCCGGGTGCTGCCTTCAGGGCCCCACGTGCGGCTCTGCTCCAGGAGCTCGAGGTGGTGGTGGAGGCACTGGACGTGGGGCACCATCCAACCTGCCTGGTCTTTTGGGACGGCTGGGACCCTGGGCTGGGGATGGGTGCCGGCAGCCCCCTTGAGGGTGAGGGTGTATGCTCACGTGCCCTGCGGACTCTCCCCAGGTGATCCAGCCGCCGCCCAAGCCCGGAGCGCTGATCCGGCCGCCGCAGGTGACACTGACGCAGACGCCCATGGTCGCGCTCCGGCAGCCCCACAACCGCATCGTGCTCACCACGCCCCAGCAGATCCAGCTGAACCAGCTGCAGCCAGGTGAGCGCCTGACCCTGTCCGCCTGGTCCTCATCACCGTGGGACTCACAGCTCAAGCTTGGCTGCTTCACATAGCCTGTCAGCACCGTTAGTCCTGGTCCCCACCCTGGCAGCATGGTTTTTAGTGGACTGGATTCCTTATCAGCAGTCATTCTTAGACCTCAGAAAGTTTGATGAAATGCAGGAAGATGAGTGCTTGAGAGAGGCTGCCTGCACTTTTCCTGTAGTTTAGAGTTAGTAACGTGGTGTTTCTTACGGTTTAGGAAGCTTCCTCATGGTGGGTTGGGGGTAACGGCCTCCCTTGGCCCACCCAGCCCTGGCGCGAGTCCGTGTAGGGGGCACACCCTTCTCTCTTGCTCTGCAGTCCCTGTGGTGAAACCTGCTGTGTTACCTGGAACCAAAGCTCTTTCTACTGTCTCCGCACAAGCTGCTGCTGCACAGAAAAATAAACTCAAGGAGCCCGGGGGAGGCTCGTTTCGGTAAGGAGTGTGCACAAGAGGTGCCAGAGGGAAGGCCACGTGGGTACCTGCCTGTGCCCAGGAGTGACTGCTCCATGGCACCTTTTGACGCTGTGTCCCCTCCACACTCAGCTCTGATCTCCGAGCTTGTGTTTTCCCACTAAGCGACTTGAGGAGGATTGCTGCAGACACAGGGTGGGAAATGCAAGCCAGCTGACTCTGCAAGCCAGCAGGAGGTTTGTTTCTGAGACATGACGGCTCAGCCTTCTGAGTGCATCATGGTACTCATAGAGGACGCATCCCGTGTCCTCCCATCAGCCTCAGAGCCTTTAGAGGTGCTGTGCTTTGGTCTCTTGACGGGCAGCTGGTCTGAGTGTTGCCCTAGGAATGTCTGCGGTATCTCCTCTGGTTTCAGTCCAGAGGTGGTGAAGTGTGCATGTGTTGGGGGCCCATGGGTCCTTCCCTTCCCAGACGCTCCGGCCCCAAAATGGTTAGGCAGCACTGGGAGCCTTCGGGGCCCACATCAGAGCTGGGCTCCAGGCAGGATGAGAAGGTGGGGGCCGGGCAGGGTGGGAAGGATGCTCACGAGGGTGAGGGAGGTTGTGGAGGTGAGAGACATGTCCACCGGTGGGTCAGAGAGGAAAGGAGGGAGGGCTCCCAGAGGCCATGCTTCCTTCTGCAGGTGAGAGAGCCAGATATGGAGAGCAAGTCAACCAGATGGGCCTTGTGGGGTTGGGTCCCGGCTGAACACTCAGGTGACAGCTCTGGGAAAGCCATGGCTGGGGCTGCCCACCTGCCCTGGGGGCCTGGGACCAGTGACACACAACGACAGCAGCACGCCCAGTGCCCTGGTCTTGTTGTCTAGAACCGATTCTTCCACAGTGACCAGGCGCTTCACGAGGCTGCTGGTTCCAGGCAGGATTCAGGAGGATGCAGGATAAGTTAGTGCCTTTTCCGGTGGTTAGAAAGCAGTGCTGGAGGGTCAGAGTTCGCAGAGTTCTAACCCTCTTTGAGTTAGAGTCGCCGCCTTTTATTTCCTGAAGGGATGATGATGACATCAATGACGTAGCGTCCATGGCTGGAGTGAACCTGTCAGAAGAAAGCGCGAGAATATTGGCCACAAACTCCGAGTTGGTGGGCACCCTGACACGGTCCTGCAAAGACGAGACCTTCCTACTCCCGGCACCTCTGCAGAGAAGGATATTAGAAATAGGTACAGCCCTGGGATGTCGGGCCCCACATGTGGGCTTGGCGTGGACCACAACTGCGTGCTCAGTGTGCAGCTGTCCTGGGCTGGGGGGACACACCTTGTTCCTGGTCACCTGTTTTGCCAGGGCTGTGCTTTCCAGGGGGTTGACAGTGGTGGTCTCAGGGAAGCAGGTGTAGACCCCCTCCCCTGCGGGCCTGCCTGGGGTGCCCTTGGGTGCACAAAGTCATAACCAGTGAATAAGAGGAAGACAGTGAAGGGAAGAACAGCGCTCCAGTGATGGTAAAGTGCTGCCTGTCCCCAGGGAAGAAACACGGCATCACGGAGTTGCACCCAGACGTGGTGAGTTATGTGTCACATGCCACGCAGCAGAGGCTGCAGAACCTGGTGGAGAAGATATCGGAGACGGCCCAGCAGAAGAACTTCTCTTACAAGGTAACTGCTGTTTCCCTGGGGGACACTCCCTGTTGTCCCTCCCTGGGGGAGGGTGCAGAGGTAGGCAGCCAAGTGTCCAGCCTGTTTGGAGTTTTTCCAGAACTGGATTTGGGGAAGAGGCTACTGCTTTCAGCCCCATGGCACCCTTGGGTGCCGTCCACCTGGCTGGGGAGGAGGATCCGAGAGCCGATCTGCTGGTCCAGGCAGGGGCCTCTTTAGCTCTACAGTGGGTGGAGTCTTCCACCCATTCTCCCCACTCCCCTGCAGTCCTTGGGCCTGAGGCCTGAGCTATCCCTGCAGCCCTGAGGGGGTCCCGCCCGCCTGTGACTCGGAGCAGCTGTCTGTTTTGTTCTGTGGAGGGCCACTTTTGGGGCACCGTGGAGAGGCCAGGTGCCTGCCGAGCCCTACCAGGCACTGCCTTCAGAGCAGCATTTGGAATAAAAGCATGTAGCCGTTTGTTTTAAAATTTTTTTTTTAATGTTACTATAAAAATTTTAGCTGTCATTTAAAAAAAAATCAAGTGATGTTCGGTCCTGGATTTTGGCACCAAAAAAAAAAAGTCAAGTGATGCCAAAGTGTGTAAAATGGAAACTTCCCTGTGAGCCCCAAGGAGACTCACTTGTGACGGCATGTGAACATCCAGAGCACTTACCAGATGTGGAGCTGGGAGGTGGAGGGGGTCGTTGGAGTCTGCGCACCAGCCTGGGGATTGGGCTGAGGGAGGCCGGGAGCGGTACGCCGACTGTCTGGCTGGGCTCTCAAGTTTATGACAAACAGTGTTTTCACTTTTTTGTAGGATGATGACAGATACGAACAGGCAAGTGATGTCCGGGCTCAGCTCAAATTTTTTGAACAGCTTGATCAAATTGAAAAACAGAGAAAAGATGAACAGGAAAGAGAGATCTTGATGCGGGCAGCAAAGGCAAGTGCTTGCGGCTCACTCAGTTTTCCCATCTCCATCCTGAGGGCTCACACACATGCTCCGGGTGTCCGGGGGCCGGAGCGCTCACACACACATTCGGGTATCCAGAAGCCCAAGCGCTCATACTCATGCTTGGGGTGTCTGGGAGCCCGAGCGGTGTTTGAGGGTGACCTCATGACACGGTGCACGGGGCGGGGAGCCTTCGAACAGCAGCGGTCACTCAGTGTGTGGGCAGGTCCCCTAGCTGCGCGGCGCCCTTGGGCTGCCCGTACCCACCAGCCTAATGTCGTATCACATCAGATTCTGCAGTTGGCAGACCCGCCACAGGCCACACCATGGTTCTTCTCTCCAAGTGGTATTGATTTTCTCAAAAATAATGTTTGTTTTTTGTGATGATATTTGGCTAGATGCATTTAAAAAATTTGACGTTTTCTGTTGTAAGACTTAGATTTTGTTATATCATGAATAAGATAACATGTTTGTCAGATGAGAAATGTTTAGGTCATAAATTGTTTTTCTTTTTTACCTGTTTGATAAAATAGTCTCGATCCAGACAAGAAGATCCAGAACAGTTAAGGTTGAAACAGAAGGCAAAGGAGGTAAGCTTTTCTAGTCTGAGAACCTGCACAGCACACTGGAAAGTGTGTTTGCAGTCAGCCTGGGCGCTGATGGGTGAGAGAGGGGCTGAGGAAGTGATGGCATACCTGAAATGAACCTCCACATAGTGACTAACACCTCTCCAGGTGTTTGTCTGTGCAAACCGTTTATGTCCTGCTTTTAACGTTTCCTGGTAATTTCTCATTCGGGGCATCCAATCTCTGTTCTCTCAAAGTTTGCTCATGTTTTCTGAGCTTTTTAAAAGATTTTTTTTATTATTGCTTTACTACTTTTATGATTGTAAAATATGCTTACTGTATATTAAAAAAGTCAAACTGAAAGTTTAATTTAGAAGAATTTGGAAAACCCTTTGGTGTCTGTGTATTACTTTTGTAGTAAGAAAAAAAAAAGGTGCATGAAATGACAGTCTCTGTTTGCTTTTCAAAACAAAGATGCAGCAACAAGAACTGGCACAGATGAGGCAGCGAGATGCCAACCTCACAGCACTAGCCGCCATCGGGCCCCGGAAAAAGAGGAAAGTGGACTCCCCGGGACCAGGATCGGGACCAGAGGTACCGCTTGGATGCAGGGACAGGGGCTGGAGGGCCTCGGGCGTCAGCCTCCCGCTCACCCTCCAGGGAGTCGGGCTTTCGCACCATTTACATGTTGTCTCACCGCCCTCAGAATACGTTTTACATTCGATGCTTTATATTCAAATCAACCTATTTGTGGATGTCACTTGAGCCATCCCTTTGCAGGAGGAGGTTTTATCTCTGTAGCTTATACAGTGAGGTTTAGGCTGACTTTGGAGACCATGTGGGGCATTCAGTCAGCAGAGTGACCTTCCTTGAGGTGCCTGTCCTCACTGAGTGTGGGCGTGAGGTGAGCCCAGATCCCAGCATGGAGGAAAGCTGTGGCCTGGTTCTGTTTGTCCACATTTTGTTGGTTTCCTGTTTTGTTTGCTCTTGTATCTTTATATATAATTACAAACCCTCCTTTAAAGTATCATGATTTTTTCTTTAAACTGCCAGTTGTGAATGTCAGGAAGAAGAGAACGTTGTCTTTTATATTTACCTGCTGACTTGCCATCTCTGATGTTTGGTGTTCCTTTCCCGAGTTCCAGGTTTCCATCGGCAGTATTTCTCTTTGGCTTGAAGGACAGCATTTAGTGTTGCTGGTAGTGCAGTCTGCTTGGTGATGGGATCTTTCAGCTTTTGTTTACTTGAAAGTGGTTGAATTTCCTCCTTAAAATTTTGAATGAAATTTTCCCTGAATATTCACAGTTTTTTCCTTTCAACTCTGTTTTTTTAAAGTCAGTTTCTCTCACCTTCTTGAATAGGCCAAGCAAATCCAGATCTGTATAACTAAATTTAATAGAATGACAGATGAACAGGGACAAGCAATTCTGAGAATTTTAGCTGCCTTTACATTTTCCCTATCTCCTGAGGCCTGTCTTAGTGCTGGTCTCTCTCTTCTGAGGGAGCTCTTATTCTCATTTAGTTGTGTTGTCTTGCTCCAGCTCACAAAGAAGATGGGAGGTGTCCCAGTGTGCTTTGCAGAATTACAGAGCTCTTATTCTTTCTTAGATGTGAACACAGCCATGAACGTGTGACCATCTGCATCCTGAAAGAAGTTGTATAGTATTCAGTGTTCCACTGTGATTTCGATCCTTGTTTCCTGTTGGTCATGAGTTTCAAGATGACTGTTTCAAGATGACTGTCTTGCTTCTTAGAAGTGTGTTGTCTTTGTTTAGACGTGGTTCTCTTGACCTCTGCTGGGGCTTCTCTGAGCTTCTTGGGTCTGTAGGTCATTGTTTCTCCTCAAATTTGCAGCACTTTGGCCTTTACTTCCTCAAACCTTTCTCTGTTTCAGTCTTTTCCTGTGGGGTTTCCCAGGTATACCTCTGTTAGCTCTCTTGATACTGCCCTGTGGATCTCTGAGTCTGTACCTGTTTTTCTGTAATCACTTTCTTTTCTGTTCGAGACTGGATAATCTCTACTGATGTGTCTTCAGATTCTCTGTCATCTTTCCTGTCCAGTGAAGTTTTACTTTGTTGACATATTTGCAGCTCTGGGATTTCTGCCTAGGTCTTTTTCTTTTTTTAAATCATTGCTAATTCTTTGCTGAGATTTCCCTGTCTGCTCCTTATTGAGGCCAGATTTTCCCATCATTCTTGGAACCTCTTTATAAAAGCTGCTCTGACGGTTCATCAAATCCAACATCTGGGTCATCTTGACTCGATCTCTGTTGACTGCTCTTCCCCGCAACTGTGGTAACAGCGTCCTGTCTCTGCGCGTCTAGACATTGTCACCTGTACGCTGGACGTTGTGAATGATAGATCATCATCCTCTGAAGAGTGTCACTGCTTGTTTAAGTTCAGCAACCGGCTGCTCATCTTGAGTGTGTGCTTTGCTTTTGCTTTGGTGTTCAGTAGGGTCTGTGGCGATCTCACCCAGTGGGGCTCAGTCAGCATATTTGCCTTCCCTGTGAGGTCAGGGTGGGTCTTGCATAGGGTATGATCCTTACTCCTGGGAAAGGCCTTGGCATCTTGGCTGGACCCCGGGAGTGAGGACGTGGGGTGGGCTGTACTCCTGCAAGGACTGTTAACTCGTGCGTGTTTTGGTTATGTCACACGGCTGTTTCATGGTAATCTTAGTTCCATAAGTAACTTGATGCTTAATACTGACTAGTCTTTGTGGATGTCTGTTTAGTCATTTGGTTTTCCACATCTTATTCTCTGTTGGATTCTTTTGGAATGTTTCCTGGGGGCCGAGTTCCCCAAATTTGTGCTTGTTGACTACAGTTTTGATAGCTATAAAATCCGTGGCTCACATTTTCTTTGCTTGAGACTCTTCCTTGAGTAAGTAGTTACATTAGATATTTTCCCCTGGTGTAAAAGGTTTGCTGTCTGTCTCATGACTGTCTGATTTTATTTCTCTTGTGTTTCATATGTTCTTTCTGTCCGAAGTTGCCCACAGAATTCTTTTCCCTCAAAGCCAAGCATTTTACTTGGAATCGGCTCTTTTTAGGTGGTTGTTCTTGGGGAGAGGTTGTGTTCATTCAACATGCAGTTTTTTTGTATTCGGGAACATTTTCTTTTTTGTTTTTGTTTTCCTCTTCAGAGATTCCTGTTATTCGTATGTTGTATCTTTCATACCTACTGTCAGCATTTGCCTTTTCTCTTAGATCTTTTTAATCTCTCTTTTAAAAAAAAGTTTTATGCTTTTTAACCTTCTTACTGTCTTCTTTCTTCCTTAGTGTCTTATTTGTTTTATTTGCTCTTGTGTTCTTTTTTAGTGTAGTCTTCATTTCTCAGCTGAAATTCTCTTTTGTTTCTAATTTTTCCTTGACTTTGTCAACTCATTTCCAAGTTTTGCCAATTCTGATTTATGTTGTTCTTTCATGCATTTTACCATTTTCTCAGTGTCTCTGCCTGTTTGGAAATAGACATCGTAGTTTTGATCTCTTACTGATTGTGTTTCTGGTGTTTTCCATTATCTCTCTGGGTGGTGTTCTGCTCCTTATTCTCATTTTTCCTTAGGGCAGCTTGTCTGGGGTTCAGCCTTTTCGTGGTTCGCTTTTGTGTGAACTGTGTGGTCTTAAACCTTCAGGAGGAGGCAGTGTGAAGATTTGCTGGCTTCACTGAGCTCCTCTTCCATAGTTTCCACGTGGTGTTAGATGTGCTGTCTGTGATTCTTGGCTCTGCCCCTCTCGACTCTTAGCTGGACCTTTTTGTTTCCTCTGTCCTGTCCTGCTCAGCTTCTGTTTCACTCCTCACAGAGTCCCTTCTGTGTGGGCCCTGGCTGGTCACAGGCAGAGCTCCTGGTGGCAAGGCCACAGAGTACCAGCCCGGTCTAGCGGCTGCTGTCAGGTGAACCTGCCCCCTTCTTGGTGAAGACCCCGAGGGTTTGAGACCTCAAAGCTGCCCGGCAGCTTTTCGTGCATAGTTTTGAGGTGGTCTCCAGGTTTGTGGCTGCTTGCAGCTCGTCTCCACTGGTTTTGTTCTGTGTGTTGCCTGCTGGCGTTTGGTTTTGCTTCCTAGCTGCTCTGGGTTTTCTCAGGCCTTTGGGAAGATTAAAACCTCTGATGCCTCTGGCACCATCTTTCCAGGATGTATTGATTAACATTTTTCAACATATTTTCTTTTAATTTATAATAGTTTCAAACCTTCAGAAAAGTTGGAAGAACAGAATGAGAATCTCCATATCCAGATTCTCCATTTTGAACACTTGGCACCTCTATTTCATCACCTCTTCTCTTTATACACGCAATGTGCCTGTGCACTTGTGTATTATACATGATGTGTATAAAATCTTTTCCCAATGGATATCCCATCACCTCTAAATGCTGATGATGCTGGACGCTCTCTTACGTTACTACTGCACCCCCCTCCCCCCCGCAATCAGGACATCACCCTGATGGCCCAGGGTCCCCAGACCTGCTTGCACTTCACCACCTGTCCAGGGCGTGTGCAGTGTCCAGCTGGCACGTGATGTGAGCCTCTGCCTGATGCCTGCGTTCCTGACAGCGTTAGAGAGGACAGGCTGCTGGTTCTGTAGGGTGATCCTCAGTGTCATTAGGCCGACAGTGTTGACTTCTTGCTGCTGGTGACCATAGCCTTGATGACCTGACTGAGTGCTTGGTTAAGAAAGCAGCCTTCCCCACTGTGTAGTTGCCTGGTCCCTTGGTATTCGTTAGTGTTGTGTGAGGAGGGGTCAGGGTCATGCACTGCTCTGTCCCTGTCACCCCTCCCCTGGCCTCAGCACCCACGCATGGCTCCCGCTGCGTCAGGACCTCCAGGCTAGGGGCCAGGCTGTGGTGCTCTGTGTCCATCATGCCCCCACATTTACTGGTTGCCTTCTGCTGTGAAGAAGAGCCTCCCTCCCACCCTCCTCCATCCATCCATCCACTCATCACCGTGTGTGGACACATGGTTCCTGCTGTGTTCAGGGGGTGTAATCAATGCTCTCGTTGTTTCTAGATTGATCAGTGGAAGCTTCTTCAAGCTGGTTCTATATCCTTTTGAAACGTTGCCCTCAACCTGTAAGCATGAGAGGTGTCTGGGTGACTGTGCCTGCCCTGCCCTTGCCCGCGTGGCACCTGGGAGCGTCCCTGCAGTGGAGGGTGATACTTGGAGACCAGTGTCTGAGCACTGTGCGTGCTGGTCGCCACGGGGTCCCTGCCCCAGGCCCCGGAGGCCCCAGCATTCAGAGACTGGAGCATGTGTCTGTGCACAGTGGTGTGCGTGTGTGCGCCTCTCTGTATCTAGAATGACCCTATGCGTTCCAGTGGATCCTGAAATTCTAGTCTAGGACCTCAGGGCTTCTTCCAGGCTCCTCCCCTTCCTTCCTTCGGAGTCCCTTCACAGGCAGTGAGACATCAAGTTCCCATTCTTCTCAGAATATTTGGTTCTTTTTTGTTTTTGCTCAATGTAACCAGTCCCACAACCACTCTGGCTGCTGGGGTCCCTGTGCTGAGAGGGGAGGGCCTAGGGAAAGGGCATGTCAATCAAGTTCTGTCTTAGGCATTGAAATATCTACAAAGTAGAGACTGGCGGGGCGGGTGTGGGTAA